GAGGAGGACACGAAAATGTCCTTCCCAATGCGCTCGCGCGGGATAGCAGCTTCCCGGATCGGAACACCGCTGCGCAAAGAAAAGAGCACTCTCCAGTTTTCATCGTGCTGCTACTGCTCCCCATAGGCCCCTTTCCCTGCCCGTCCATCGCCACCACCGATTGTTCCGCTCTGCCGCTGCCCGCAACGCTGTCTGCGCCCCCCCCTCCAGGTGGCGCGGGCATTGCCATGGAGCTCGCGACGCTCCCGAACGGGCTGTCCAGCGGCCTGAGAAACGCAGCCCCAGTCCCGATCCGGCGGAGTCGCCCAGAGCCTGACAGAGACAGAGGCAGAGGGGAAGGATGAGGACACGTACCCAGGGACCACCGAGTAAACTACAGGAGGGAGGAGGAGGGAGTGCAGGGGCGACGGTGACCTTCGGCGGCCAGCCTCGGACGGGACGAGGCCAGCGCGTGACGGCACGCGCCCCTGGGAGCACGGCGCTGGACATGGAGTCCGACCCATTCCCCGGGGACCGGCTCTTCATCCTGAGTCGTTCTTTGACGGTCCCGAGGCCCGGCGAGGGCCCGGCGAGGCCGAAAATAGCGAAAAACCTCCCGTCGTGATTTTTTCATGACCCGAGGGGGTCTGGGGAAAGAGATGGCAGCAGAAGCGAAGGGGAGGGCATGGCAGGAGTGTGGAGGAGGAAGCGGTGGAGGAGGCGCAGGCCGCGGCGGCCCCCAGGCCGCCCGGTCGGCGGCACGTGCTCCTCCTCTTGTGGCTCTCGTGCGCGAGCCCCCCGTCCTCTCCTTGGGTCTCCTCGCCCAGCGCCACAGGATTCGCTGGGGAACCGGCCTGGCCACGCACAGTAGAAGTAAAAGCCACGCAAACATGAACTTTTGGCGCTCCGCGCGGATTTCTCGGATCCGCGCTGTGCCCCCTCCCTGGCGCGCGGAGCGCGCCAGGGGCGGTGCAGGAGGCGCCGCCAAGGCTCCCAGCGCGGATCCGAGAAATCCGCGCGGAGCGCCAAAAGTTCATGTTCATGTGTTTTTTTCTTCTTCGAACGCAAATCCTTGGGGAACCGGCCTGGCCACGCACAGTAGTATCCCACTGTCTCGGGGTACTTTGCTCTCCTGGCGGGTGGCGAGGATTTGGGTCCTGGCCCCGCTGCGGCACCCGGAGCGCGGCCCAGCGCCTGGCGGCAACTCGAAGACCACGAAGTGCGGTACTTTGGCTTGAAAAGGAGACCCCGGTTTTCCCCGGCACCCGTCCGGCATCTGCCCAGACCCCCCTGGGGAGTCATGATGCTCTCTGTTGAGCCCGGTAGAAACCTATCAGTCTTCGCTGTTAGGTGATAAATATACACAAATCGCAAGATTCCCTATAGTTTCCAATATTCTTTGAGTTTTCGTCTTCCCCCCCACTTCCCATGTTTTCCAATATTTTCCTGGGGATCCACGATAAATTGTGTCTGTGTTTTTTCCCTCTTGAATCGATCCGTGGCCCCCTGGGACCGGCGCACGCTGCCAGTCCAGACGGAAGAAGACTCGGCCATCTTGGTAAACACGTGGCGAGCGGGCTCTGAGACCCCCGAACCTCTCCTAGCGTCGACTCGCGGAACAGCGGATCTGACCGGGACGATCATCGAACCGGGCCGAATCGGTTCGGAACCGAGATCGGACTGCACCTGCTGCGCATGTGCACACCTGCGCTGTGCAAACGTCGGACCGCTCCGGGGCACGCCAGAAAACCGAAACCAAATGGCGGATCCCGGAAATCCCGAACCCCAAAACGCTTTCATCTCTTTCGGGGGCGTTTTTGTACTGCCGCCGCCCTCCTCCACACCTCCGCCGGCTTCTGCCGGCGGAGGCGACCTCGTTTTACTTCCGCCGACCTTCCGCCGCCCTCCGCGGCGGAAGAGATGACAACTCCTGCGATCCTTGAAGGCAGTGACCAGAGGCCTCCCAGATTGGGTCGGAGTAGATGGGGTCGGAGGATCGCGCCACATCGCCGACGTAGGCGATGCATCGGCGACGCCGACGTGAAGCAAACCGGGCTCCACATCGAGCCGCATCGCCGACACATCGGCGATGCGGCGCGGTCCTCCGACCCCATCTACTCGGACCCCGTCTAGGAGGCCCAGAGTAACAACTCCTTCGATCCTCGAAGGCAAGCAAGTAATGACATAAACAGAAAAACTCGGAGGTCTGCGCGGGTTTCTCGGATCGGCGTTGGACCCCCTCCTTGGCGCGCTCCGCGCGCCAGGGGCGGCGCCGAAGGCGCCGCTAGGGGTCTCCAGCGCCGATCAGAAAAATCCGCACAGACCTCCGAGTTGTTAGGTTTATCACTGTTCGTTCCCCTGTTTTGGGAACGCCCCAGGTTCGGGCGCTGGCAGAACTGGGTTTAGCATGACCTGGCTTAGTGACGTGTACAGAGGGACGCCCCCCCGCCCCGCTCCACCAACCGGAACTGCCGTCACCCGAAAAAAACACCGGCCACGGCAGACCTGGTGTATAACGATCCTGGCCGATCCGGGGGCTCCAGGGCACAACCACCGACCGGGCCCCCTCACCTGCGGACCTGGCCATACCCGACCTAGGTGACTTCGACCTCGGATCGGACCGATCGGGCCGACGCGGGCCCCGTGGCCACGGGGGGAGCCGCTGGGCCCCCCGCGGGGGCCGCCGGGCCCCCCGCGGCCCCCGCGGCCCCCGAAGCGGGCCCCGTGGCCACGGGGGGGCCGCCGAGCAGGGCGGGCTCCGGGGGGGGGCCGCTGGGCGCCCCGCGGCCCCTGCGGCGGCGGGGCGCCGGGCGCGCCGGGCGAAGGCGGCAGGGCGAAGGCGGCCTGCACGCGGGGCGACCTCGGCGCCCCGAGGCGCGCGCCCCAGAGAGCCGACGCTCCAAGGCAAAAAATGTCGTTGCACCGGCCCTGCAGATCTGCGCGAAGTTCTGCGCGGAGGTCTGCAAGAAGGGCGGCGCGCGAAACACGGAGTGCATTGCGCGTGGGTTCTTGGTGGTCTTCATTCCTGCACGAAATTCACCTCGAAGTCCGGAAGGAAATTCTCCAGGACACCCCGGGCCCACCCTGTAATTTTTCAAACGAAATACGCTCTGCGATGTTGTTGGGCCTCTGGGGGGCCCTCGCCGGGCCTCAGGAGCCTCAAAAAAACGCTCGGGACGAAAAGCCGGCGCCGCGGGGAAGTGGTCCGGGCCTCCGTGGCCCACGTGTCAAAAAAAATGGAGCGGCCGGATGTCTGGGTATGGCTTCACGAATGTTGTCTTCTTTCTTCCATGGCCCCTTCTTCCCACACCCGGCGGCGGCCGACCTGGAGCCATGACTCCATGCGGGCCCGCAATACTGTGTTCACGCGCCTGCAGGTGAAAGCATGCGCAACGCAAGCAACAACTGCACGGGAAATCCCGCGTGAGCGCAACACGCTTCGATATTTGTTTTACCTGCGCGAGGTCGCCCTGTGGCTGGGGGGGAAGAGAGAGCAGCAGCAGCAGCAGCAGCAGCAGCAGCAGCAAGGGGAGAGGGAGGGGGCAACTTCTCGATACATGGCCGCCTCCGGCGCCAGGAAAATCAGCTACGTGAGCTGATTCTCAATCCCCCCCCTTCGCTATCCCCCCCTTTCGCCCTGCCCGATGTGTTCACGTGCCTGCAGATGAAAGCATGCGCAGTGCGAGCAAAAACTGCACGGGAAAGCCCGCGCGAGCGCAACACGCTTCGGCACGCGGGGGGGCAAGGAGTGGCTCCTCTCCAGGGCGCGGCCCTGTCTGGAGCGCCCCGACCCGTCTCCGACCTTCGATCCTGGACCTGCGATCCTCCCCTGGTCAGTTCTCCTCCGCATCGATCCTCCTGGATCTTCGATCCTCGAGCGACTTCGGCGGTGGACAAGCCTCCCTCTAGTAAACCTCCCCTTAGTGAAAACGACCCAGGGCCGAAATCGACGGGCCTGGACTCGCAAACGTGACGGCCGCAACGCCCTTTCGCGAACCGAAAACGGCCAATTCCTTGATCGACGTGTCAGGGTAGGAGGTCTGTCCACCTCCGACGACTGCCAGATCGCAGCCCGAAGACTCGTAGGGCGGCGGCACTTGAGCCATGGAGTTCACCATGCTCCCGAAGGGCGTCGAGGAGCTCGAGGACTGCATGGACGCCTTCTCGGGGGGGGGTTCGACAAACGACGAGAGGTGATTGGGTGAGGGCGGGGGAGGGGGAGAAGAAACAGGAGAACGACGAGGCGCAGCCGCAACCGCACGACCGACAAACGATGCCAATACAATGCTCCTGCCCCTGGTCCCCACCGACGGGCCCGACAGGCTCACGGAAGGACGGCGAGGGTGAGGGGAGGCGCGGCCACATGAGATACCGTCCCAGACATCCAACCGCTCCAACTTTGTCGATGTGTGGGCCCTGGAGGTCCGGACCACTTCCCGGGGCCACTTTTTCGTCCTGAGTCGTCTGTTGACGCTCCCGAGGCCCGGCGAAGGCCCCCCGATGCCGAAAACTGAAAGTATCCTGCAACTCCAGGCCCGGCGAGGGTCCCCGGAGGCCGAAAACTGCCTAGATCCCGCCGCTCCTTGCTCTTGCTCTATTTCCTCCTCGTCCTCCTCCTCCTCCTCCTCCGCCTCCCCCTCCTCCGCCTCCTCCTCCTCCTCCTCCTCATCCTCCTCCTTTTGTTTGGACGCCAGGGCTGGCGCGCGCCTGCACGGGGGAGACCGGTGTGGGGCAGAGGCAGAGCGCGGGAGGCCGAGGTCGAATGCATGGCAGGGAGGAGGGGAGGACAAGGGGGGGAGGAGGAGGAGGAGGAGGAGGAGGAGGAGGAGGAGGAGGAGGAGGAGAGGAGGAGGGAGAATGGAGGATGAGGAGTCGGAGGAGGAAGAGGAAAGGAGGAGGGGAAAGAGAGGAGCGGGAGGAGGAGGAGGAGGAGGAGAGGTGGAGGAGGGGTGAGGAGGAGTAGGATGAGGAGAAGGAGAGGGGAGAGGAGGGATGAAGGGGAGGAGGAGGAGGAGGAGGAGGAGGAAGGGAGGAGGAGCGAGAGGAGGGAAGGAGGAGGAGGATGGGAGGAAGTGTGGGAGGTGGGAGGAGGAAGGGGTAGGAGGAGGAGGAGGAGGGAAGGAGGTTAAGGAGGAGGAGGAGAGTCAGGAGGAGGGCAGGAGGAAGGGTGTGACGGGAGGGAGGGAAGGGAGTGAGGGAGAGGGAGGGAGGGATTATTAATGTATTGATTGCGAGAGTGTTTATTATTATTAGTTGATAGTACGTATTATTATTCTTATTATATATTATCATTAAGTATATATGATATCTTATAAAGAATATTGATTATGTGATTATGGTTAAATAATTATTTTGCTTATTATTTCCTTATTTTCTTCTTATTATTCGTCTCTTATAGCCTTGTCTCTTTTCATTTCTTCTTTGCACTTCCTCTCGTCTAGTTCTTATATTTTTCTTGTCTATTTCTTAGTCTGTTTTTTGTCTTTCTTTATTCTAGTCTTCGTTTCTTCTTATTCTTCTTCGTAGTCCCCGTCCTCCGTCCCCCCCAGGGTGGATGAATTCGTTTGCAGCTACAAACTACAACGTCTGATTAAAGTGATGTTGAGCGCGAAGGCGGCCGCCAACCTAGGACTGGACCACCACCTGGAACCTCTACCTGGAACACTCTCACCTGGACCTCGATATGGAAGGTTCGGTGACGGAAGAGGGCGCTGGTTCCGAATTGCCTGAGGCCTCGAGACCATGCGCCCCTGGATAGTCTGGCACGCCAGCTGAGCTGAGCGCCTGGCTTGAAGAGTAATGTTATACTGACCGAACAATTGGGGCTGAGCGGCAAGCTCAGCTCTCAACTTATGGAGAATATAGAAGCTGATCGCCGTGAGCTTGTGGGCTCGCTCACGGTTGATCTCGGCGACATCATAATCACCTGTCGAGCCGAGTCCGAGGCGGACTAAGGGATCAGACGGGAGATAAGCACGGCCAGGGATAGCTAAGAGGTGAACAAGGCGAGGGCAAACGATATAGTGAGAGATCGCGTCAGGACAATGCTCACAGCCAAATATGCAGCTGAGAGGGGTCAAGATATGAATTCTGTGGGTCGTATTCCACGCTCCTGCTAATGTCTTGAGGTGAGCCCACACACGCATGGGAGGGGACTTATTCAACACAAGTTCAAGCGCCTCCCATTGTGGCCGCATTTCTTCCTCACTCGGAACAGTGGCGTGCGGAAGCCACGCTGAGAGGCGACGGTGGCAAAGGAGGTGTAAAGAGTCAGGGAAAAGCAAAGCAGCGAGGGAGGAAAATAGGCGAGTCTGGATGCCAGGAAGACGCAGCCGATCCCTCCCCTCCACCACCTCCACAGCTACGGCCGCCGCAGCAGCCTCCTGCAGGTGCCTCGGCGCGATGATGTGCGATTGCGGGCGGGGGCGCGCGCGCGCGGGCTCCATTCTCCACTCCAGATGCCAAGCTGCTGTGCTATACTACCTGGAATGGCCCAGCACGGTGCAGCCCATCTACCCTCGCCCAATTAACAATCGTGCCTCGCTCGGAGATGACCTCCTCATGACGCCCAACCCAGAAACCCCCACCGCTCCCCCGCTCCGATCTATCACCCCAACAGACCCCGCTCACCACCGAGGCCCCTCAAGCGTCTCCGGGCCATCCTCCAGCCCAGCAGCGACGTGGCAAGGAGCAACTGAATGAAGGTGGCTCCAGCTTTTTCAAAAAAACCACGTGCAGATCGAAAACAACCTCTGAGAGCTTGGATGAGCTGGGGGGGGGGGGGGGGGGGGGGGGGGGGAGGCGCAACATGTTATGCAAGGCCCACGTTTCTTTTGCGCAGGGTGCGAGGGGAGATCGGAAAGAATTGAGCGATGTAGCTGAGGACCGTGACGCATCGAACATTGTAAAGCGTGACGGAAGCTGCTGTAGGCGCCCTGCCCGCGCCCGCCCCCCTCGAACGCACCCGCCATTTTTGCCCGACAGCTTCCCATTCGCCCTCGAGTGAGGCTCCAGGGCCAAAGAGGATGCCTAGATATCTGGTGAAAGACTCTATGGCGAATGAACTCCAAGGGGCAACATTGGCTTGCAGGAAAACGCGGATCCTCTCAATGAGGGGTCATTGACGCATGGCCACAGCGGTACCAGGCACCACTTGTAGGGTTGAAAGAAAAGGCCAGCAAGGGCAGCGGCAGCCTCGAAGGGGGGCAAGCGGGAGGGAAGGTGTCGGATGTTGCCTAGAGCAGCTCCTACGTCGTCGGCACCCGCCCCCAGATCGTCCTCGGAGCCTCCAGCAGCCTCAAGAGACGAAACCAGGGCACGGACAAGGGGGTCCATTCCCAGCGCCCAGGGAGCCCCCGACAACGGGCAGCCTTGTGGGACCCCAGAAGAGAGGGAGAAAAGCTCCCGAACCTCTGATCCAACACGGAGGAAGCCTACAGCGTTGCACATCAATGCCCTGGTGGCGCACATATATGGCTCTGGGAGGAGGAAACGCTGGAGAACTTTCCTCAGCCAGATTTGACTCATGCTGGGGAATGCGGCTTTCACGCCAAAGCTAACAAAGATAGGCATTATTCTATCTGCATCTTCGCCTAGACTCGCAATGCGACAAGGTGTATCTAATCGCACGATGTGGCGAGCAAAATTGCGGCCATTGACGAACCCTTGCTGTACTGTGTGGGCATGCTGCTCTGCCACTCGCTTGAGACGCAAATTAATCGAAGTGGCCATGGCTTTAGCGTCACAATTCTTTAGACTGAGGTGCCTGAGCTGACCAGGCTGGCGCGCGCAGTCCATTTGATTTAATTCGTCTTCACCCTTCGGGATGACTGCGAAGATGCTGCGGTGAAGAGTAGGAGGGGGAGAGGCACCGTCAAAGAGAGACAAGAGCAGAGAGTGGAGGACGACAGCGAGAACAGGGTGAGTAGGCCAGGCTTTGTAGGGGAGACGATCTGGGCCAGGGGAGGAGGATTTACCCCGCTCAAGGGCCCTCTGGAGGTCCTCGAGCTCAGGAGGGGGGAGCTCGTAAGGCACAGGGGAGGGGATGTGTCGTTCAATGAAGGCCTCTTGTGCTGGGGTGTCCTCCACTCTCTCCTTGAAAACTGGCTCCCAGTGCTCCCGCATGGCCTCAGAGATATTCTGCGCACCCCTCACGAAATGGGCGTGGTCTCCGTGACCCTCTTGCGCATGCTGGGTGCCCTGGAGAACAAGCCTACGGCCCTGGGGCTTCGCGAGAAGCGCACGGCGAAACATAATCTCCTTAACCCTCCCCCCACACAGGTGCCTCCCCACTCCCTCAGACGATGCACGCTGCAGGGCGCGCTCCGCGCGTGCCTCATTGCAACCGAGCGCCTCGGCCTCAAAGGCCGCGGCGTTGCGCAGCTTCACCTCCAGGCCGGCGAGGGCCAGGTGCTGCTCGCCCGCGGTGGCGTTGGCGATCAGCCGGCCAGCAAGCCGCCGACCTTGACGCCAGACCGCCCTTGCCACCGCTCGCTGCGCCATGGCCTGTGCGTCCAAGCTGTCGTCAGTGCTGTCCCCGATCGGCGTCTGGAGCAGGATGTTGCGCGTCGTCTCAGCGGCCAGCACCATCTTCCGCTTGACGCACTCCCACTGCTCGGTTGCCGTCATGCCGTCCAGCTCGCATGCGTTGAGGAGGATCTCGATCTGCTTCTGGAAGGTGGTCGTCTCGAAAAGGATCTTTGGGATGGCCTGCTCAGCCTTTGGCGCCTCCGTGCGCGGCTCCAGTCTGAGCTCCACCATTGCGTGGTCGCTGAGCTTCCACAGGGACAACTCCTGCTCGTGATAGCGAATATTCACGACAATCTTGTTCTCACGGATGAAGTGGGGAGGGAGCGACGTGAAGACCCGATCGATGTTCGTCATCTGGTTCGTGTGCTTGTCAAAGTGTGTGGGCACGGGCGTAATGATCTCCGTCATCTTCGTGGAGCCGTTGATCAGTTGCCTCCAGAATGGTTCTCCATGGTTGGCGCGCCCTGCAGTCGACCGGCGTGCTTGTCGAGCTCGCGGACGCAGCACACTCTCGTTCGGGTTGTCACTGTAGTTCAGTTCCCCTAGTGCCACGAAGGGTCGATGTTGTGGATCTGCATGTGCCCATTCACTGTGTTCTTGCCAGCAGTCGCGAAATTTTTGTCGATGCCCATCG